ATCCTCGCCTCCGCAGTACCGGATTACACATTGCACACCACTCGTGGTAGATTCCTGTTAAGAGACCCCATCAGAGACTGGTCTGTTAGTCACAGGAGTCCGATTGCCTGTATCAGTGTTCTTCATTGGTGGCCTTTAGTGCGGCCCCTGACAATACACAAATAGTGAAAACATCCCCCGCACCCCATCATCGTGCTGTCAAACTCCCAATGGCCCTCGCGCTGATGATGACAATGCAATCAGTGAAGAACACTGAACCTACAGTCCAGGTCAGGGACCAGTCTGTTAGTCTTCTGTGTAAACACTGTGTACGCAGTGACTCGTCTCTCTTGTCTCTCGTCGCAAACGACAAATGTTGATCGTATGTTACTAACAACAAATGTTGACCGTATGTTGTTAACAACAAATGTTGACCTATGTTACTAACATGCTGACTGTTGTATGACGCTAACAACAAATGTTAACCGATGTTGCTAACAACAAATGTTGAATTTCGATTTAAAGCTTTCGTGACTGCAAGGATTCATCTTCTTGGTTCTTTCGGTAAAGTCACGTAGAATGAGATAAAAAAAATAAAATAAAATAAGACAATAAGACAGTGTAATATCACAAGTCTAATAGTTTATAATCTAAAGTATAGGGTAGTGTAAAGTAACGCATTGTAAAATTCAAAGGTGGAATTTGTCTATGATATGATGTTATACCATGTAGTTTAGATTGTATTATATAGTAGTCTAGTTTACAGCATAGTCATAAGGCAACTCAGGACACAACAGCGCACCTTGGCTGTTGCACTTGCCCCTTTTCTTGTTTCCTCTCTGCCTGTGTTCCCAGCCCCCTCCTTCCTCCTCTCCGGAGGTGATGCTGGTAACATGCAAATTCATATTTTAACTCCTTCCACACAGCTTAATAGACGCGGTCCTTGCATGACAGCGTTCATTCAAGCTCTGTCTTCCGGACAGACCTGTCTCTTCACCTGAAGGCCACTTGTGTTGTGGCCGAAACGTCGTGAGAATTTTATTGTCTTATTTTATTTTATTATTTTATTCCCATTATACGTGACTTTACCGAAAGAACCAAGAAAACAAATGTTGACCTATGTTGCTAACAACAAATGTTGTTCGTACGTTGTGAACAAATATTGATCGAAAGTTGCTAAACCAACAAATGTTAACCTACATCATGGGACCTCCTTTGCCAGTACCAAAATATTATAATAGATTTTCCCCTTTTTTCTGGCAACAAAACAGGTGTTAAGATGTTAAAACACCAAACGGAAACCTTTTAGAAGGAATAATCTCTGCATTAACCACAGAATGCAAACAAAAAAACGTACTCTGATCATATATGCATTTGATTTGAAGCTTTCATGACTATTATTAAATTTATTTTCTTTCTACGTGACTTTACCGAAAGTACCAAATATAATCTATGCATTGTCTTTGAAACTGATTGGTTCACACCAGAGACAGCCTTCTTTTGAGCCTCGTTTCAAACGGTGTTAAGACCAGAAAAAACAACAAATGTTGACCTTGGGTTGCTAACGACAAATTACATCGTGAATGTTGGAGTAGAGCTAGGAGACTGCAAGGCAGGGCTCGGGGGGCACAGCGCAAATAAGTTTGACGAGGGGAATGATAACAGCGTGCACAGTGCTTCACATTTGCCGGGTGGGGCGGTACATTTGGCAAGCGACGAGAGGTGCTGACAGCGCCAGTTGTGGGATCGCAGGCGAAGGGCAGAACGCAATTACGCCGACGGATGTACACATTGCAGAATGATGGAGAGAAGGAAAACGAACGAGGAATCCGATAATGTGGCATTTTTAATGCGCAACCACGACATTATGCAACAGCAGCAGCAGCGGGAACATTTGTCCGAAAGTGAAACGTATTTTTATATTAGATTAAAACATTTTTTTTTTACCATAACAGAGATCGAGACACACACAGAGACCCGCAGACAACAACAACCGCCATTCGCCACTAAGTGGCGGTGACGTCACCACGACGCTTGTGCCAGGCAATGTGCACCTTGAGGCCACGTGAAGTGGCGAACGCCCGCTGGCAGGAGGTCACGGGCAGACCCAGGTGCCACCGGTCGACTGACTGAGATGACTGGCTGAGGCACCACCTGTGCCCCCTACTGTGCAAACTTGCTGTGCTTTAGCCACCCGGCGCTCCGCTCGTTGTTGTGAGCGTCGCTCCTCCGCCCACCGTTGTTGTTGGAGGGCGACTGCCTCCAACTGCCCAGTAGCGTCCTTCACGAGCCTCCTCCACTGAGGCCGATCTTGACACCGCTGGTACCAGTCATCGGCAAGTCCACTCAACTCCACGTACCACGTCACTCCATCTCTTCAATTACCCGTGCCGCGCCCGTTTAGCCCCCTCTATCCGGCCGAACAAAAGCTGTTTCGGCATACGATGGCTGGGCATGCGGGCTACATGACCCAGCCAACACAGCCTTGCCTGCCGGAGGAGCTCACCGATGGGACTTTGCCCAGATCTTTCAAGGATTTATGAGCTCCTCACACAATCCAGCCTGGTTAAACCCAGGATGGATCGTAGGCAGAACAGCCTAAATGTTTCTAACCGGCGAAGATGTCCCATTAGGGGGGTCCACATTTCGCAAGCGTAGAGAAGGGAGGGAATGACCGTGGCCGAGAAGACCTGAAGCTTCGTGCGGAGCGACAGACCAGGTAGCTTCCACACAGCGTTACGCAACCGATGAAAAGATAATGCCGCTCGACTGATTCGGAGTGAGACCTCTGCTGCTAAACCGGAGCCGGACATGAGCGCGCTGCACAGGTATGGGAAACTCTCTACTCTCTCCACAACTGCCCCATCACCGATTGGAAGTTGTGGGGGTGGAGTGTCCGATGGTACAAAATACCCAGGCAGGTGCTTAGTTTTGGTGGGGCTGATGGTAAGGCCCCACCTCTAAGTGGCACGCTCCAGTTTCAGTAGCAGCATCTCCAACTCCTCCTCTGAATGAGCAGCAATTACCAAATCATCGGCATACATAACGTGGTTGACCAATAGGGAGCCATCCCTTGACCGCACCCGGGTATCGATCAGCCTCCCATTATATCTGTACCAAATGGAAATTCCTCCGGTACAGTTATTGAAGGCTTCACGAACTATGTGGTCAAAATAGATGTTAAATAATGTGGGAGCCAGAGGACATCCCTGTCGCACCCCAAGGTGTACAGGGAGTGGCTCTGACTCCCGGCCACACACAGAGACACAAACACGGAGAGAACACACGGAGAGGAATTCCCCCCAGTTATTTCTTCCCATTTCCAGCCCTGATCTGCGGTAAGACATTCTGTGGGGAGCTGCGCTAGAAATGTGCAACCCGAATTCGATTCCTGCTCACGATCAACATCAGTGTGTGTAAACATCAGCAGTGTTCGGGCGTGGTGGTGGCCACTCACTCTTTTGTGTGTTGTGCTGGCATGCATCGGCTCTCTGTAGAGCTCACTTACCAGCAATGGTATGAGCTAACACATTGCAGGGGCTGCGCCTGTGCCTTTAGTGCACATGGCGGAAGGAAGCGATCGCAGGGATTTCCCAAGTGTTGTTTCAGTGCCTTCATCAACGGGGCTTTCGAGTGGACGGAAAACAAAAAAACAATACTAAACACTCGATCAGCCCGAAGGTGTTTTATTTTATTATAATATTTTTATTAAAAACAATTTAAAAGTGTTTTTTTTCTTTTCTTCAGCCGATGTTTGAATGGAATAGCAGCGTAAATAATGGATCTGAGATACGGGCATGCGTCTGCGATGGATGCGGGGGAAATTAGGGAATGTTTTTAATATATATTTTTAGAGAAGTCACTGTGGGCGGACGGTATTAAAGCGTTTCTTTAATATTTTCCACGATTTCTTCTTCGTGTCAGCTCCGAGAGCCGCGTTCGGAGGAGAAGTTGCCGTTCATTGCGAATGAGCTCGCCACGGTGGCGAGATGTTAACTACCTCGCCTGGTATGAAGGAGGTCGTAGGTTCGATCCCGACCCTGATGCCTGCATATTTTGAGTTTACGTTTCTCTCTCCCCGTGGTAGCGTGGATTTGTCTCCGGGTCCTCTGGTCTGTCCCTCCACATTCAACGTGCGTTTCGAGTATTTGGCTGGCATACATTCCACGTGATAAGCCACTTCCTTGAGTTATCATTTATGGCCAGATCGCTTCCGAATAAGATATCTGTAGCTCATGGAGCCTTACCTGTTAAAATAGAAAATATTTGAGTTTAGAATGAACGTCGTTTTTAAAACGACAGCAAACATCGTGGGTACGAGAGGGGCTGGAGAGACACCATCTCACCGCCCTGTACCGTGAAGTGGGGACAATCAATCATCCGTCAAATAATTTATTTAATCCAATTTTTCCCCTTTGGAACATTACAGGATAAGCAAATATAAAATGGGCCTCATAAAAAAAAACAAATCTAAAATCTAGCCACCTCTTCTTAGATTAACCCTGACCCCAGAGGTTCGTGAGGTGACCGGGTGGCTCAGAGGTCAGAGCGCTGAGCCGACACCGCTGAGATCCTGGGTTCGAGTCTAGGCAGTTGCCTGTGATTAAACGGGGGTTTTATTAAGTGTAGTTAGCTGATGGGTCTTGGCTCGATCACCCGTCAGATGTACTTAATTCTGCACTTAATTTGGCTAACATACAGCTCTGACAACTAAAAATATGTCTTGGGATGAACATGTCTCTGCTGCAGGGCCCGTGAGAAGGTGCTACTCTCTGTGTGTGACTCTCAGAAGTAGCTCTGCGGTATCCGCTTCCGCTCAGACACTCAACGCCCATTCGCAGCTTCGCGGCCGACCATCCACCCCGAAATCTCACTCGGCTAACCGACGATCCGGCCAATCAGCGGCCAATCATCAGCATCTCACAACACCGCATTCCTGCGGCCGCGTGAACCGTGGCCGGGCCAGGGCCGCTCACTCGCGTCCCGTTCTCCGCACTCCGTTTGCCCCTCCCCACCGGCAGCTACTGGGATGAGTACCACGAGTGCAAGGCGGAGGTGCTCACCGACTGCCCGCCGGATGCTGCGCGGAAGCTCATGTTGCTCCAGCAGGAGCTGGACCGTATCAACGGCCCCGGCGGCCTCTTCCAGCTGTGCCACGTGCCCGCCGCCAACGCCGGGGCCGCCGCGGCCACCGCGGCGTCGGCCGCCGCCGCGTCCGCCCGCCTCGTCCTCACCATCGCCGCCGCCGTCGTCGTTGTCCTGAGCCGCGAGCGGTTGTGAGGGGACGGCGCCCCCCACTCCACCCTCCCCGGGCGCTTCTTCCTCACAGTTACACCGACTGACTTCACGCACAACGAGCGTGGCGTCATTAGCTCCACGCCTGGCCCCGCTTGCCACCCCGAGCCGTGATCAGATGTTTTGTGAGGTACAATTTGTTTCTGGCTCGCACGCCAAATAGCCAGTGTAGAAAAAAAAAACAATACCCGTACCCATGTGGGTGGCATCTCAAAGTTGCGATTCGCATGTGGCCGTTTTTCACTGTGGCGACCGTGAGTATTAAGGACAACGTCGCTCGGTTGCCATCTCGTCACTGGGGCGGATCGCCCAAGAGGCTCCTTTCTCTACCTTTGTGGTCGACCCCACCAGGGCTGGCTCTCGCGATAATGGCAAGACCAAAGAATGCGGGCCTGCCCCCCCCCCCCCTCTTGTTTGTGTTCAATCGTCGATGTTGAAAGCAGCTCTTAAAGCAATGCCTGTAGATGTGTCTAGGGGCCATTCAACATCGGGGAGCGCTGGGATCAGAATGTGCAGTTTGCCGCCCTCCCAACTGCCGAGCGTGCGGCAGCTGAAGCCGGCACTGTGTCTCGTGTCTCGCCGTTTAACACGCATCATGTATTGATGACAAGAGTGAGATAGCGGCATTGGCTCGTCGGTTGGCCAATCACGAACTGCTCATATCTTTATTATCATCATCATCTTTGTAACTAACTCAGAAAACCATTGTACAAAAATATATCACGCAAAAAATTAGATACCAAAACTTTGATTTCGAAGTTTGTTTCATCAACTTGCAAGTTAAAAATTAAAATGGTTTTACATTTTTGGCCCAAAATTATGGAGTGCTCCATAATTTGCGGGCGGAAGAAGAAAAGACTAAACCTAAAAAAGCAGCTCTAAAGAAGTTTTCAATTTAAATCTAAAAGTGGTTTCCTAGTAAACAATAGACCTACTGCTTCCTGAGAGATATATCCGGATTTGGTCTGCAATGGGAAAGTTGGCAACTCGAGTCGTCGCCTAATGCGAATGTCATCTCGTCCAGAAATGTTTTGCATAAAATATTTACTCAGTCGCACGGGTAAAATTTGGGTGACAATTTTCCCTGTGTCACCCTGTCGCACCCTGGCTCATCTGTAAAGGTCAACATGTCAGTACCGATCGGAGTATCTGGCTTTGGCCTTTGACCTCTCGTAAGCTTGTGCAGATCCACTATTTGACATTTTTATTGATTGACCAAAGTGCTTTGCCCGCTTGGTTATTCCAGGGGAATTTAATTCAACGCCGTTTAAATTCAGCCAGCGGTGGCCGAGCAAATGCCACAAATCGCGCTTACATTTGAGAACCCTGGGTAACCACGCATGGCTCAAACTCGGATTGTGGCCAGCCACTTCAGTCGCCTCCACTTGTCCGTGTAACTCCACGTGGCCCTTGTCTCCCTTAGCGAAAGAGGCACTAAATCTCAACGGGCTCTTACCTGGAGAAATACAGCGCGTATATTAATAATCAGCGCGTGGATGTGGGGTGGGGGGAGGGGTTAACGATAACAGCACAGCGTGCCGGGGGAAGGCGAATTAACGAGGACTTTTCTCATCCCATTCCCACGCACATTCCCTGCGCCCCCACATTAATCACCGTTATTTACTTCCAACATGCAGGTTACTTTTAAATTAGTTACTTTTATTAATTATATAGGTGTGGGTGTTTTTTTTTTTCCAAACAGCATTACTTGAGGTGCCCTCCTTAATGGAGTGGACCTGCAAATGGGTGCTGGGTTCAATTCTGGGTAAAGTCAGCCGAATGAGATTTCACCCCCCTCCTCACCCTCGCATTTGTCACAATTAATTGTAGCGGTGGATTGCGTTACATTGTCATAATTATGCAAATGTATTCAGTTTTTAATTAACAATTAGGCACTGCTCTTCGACATGTTTGTGGGTTGAACCCCGCGTTGATGTTCAGCGCAGTGTCCCTTGCTGCGCTCTGAACTCCCAGCACGTGGAGCGAAGGGAAGCTCCCAACGGCAGGTGGAGCGAAATGTCGGACGTCGTGCCGTTTGCAGGTCCGGAGAGAGCCATATGGCAGCAGCATAACCGCAAACATCTTCATGGTAGCTGACCACGTGAATTATAATGTAGTTGCGTTATGGGAAGCTTCATCATTGCAGAATCCCTTTAGCCACGAGAGCACGTCTACCGGAGAGATGGATGAAGACCACCCCATGCCGTGTCTCTAAATCGCGGTCACGCGAAGCAACAAACCATCTAGCTCCCGCACACGAGCCCACTTCATCGTTCCATCTCTGCGGTTGACGAGCTCTCAAACATTTCTCTCCATCACTAGTTTCGACCGCACATAGCGCTTGTACTAATTGAAGTGTAACACATGTTTTTGTTCCTGGGTAGTAAGTGTTATTTCCTAATTGCGTATGCCTCAAAAGGACTTAAAATGGCTATTATTCCCCACAAACTTTGCTTTGTGACCAGGACAGTGATACTCTGAAATTTACCTATTTTCCAGAACATTCCAGATAGATTCAGCGCTGAGTAAACTTGGAGTAACTTTTAGAACATTCTAGAGCTTTCCAGTAATATAAATAGTAATATAAATACAAGGGCCTTAAGCCCAACAGTTCAGTTTAGTTCTAGCTGCCTAAGTGGATACATATCTGAATTTTTTTGAGATGGCATCAAGAGGCTGCAAACATCCGGCAGACGCATTTTGCTATGCGGCTAATTTATCAAGACAGGAGCGAAAAAGTACTCTGTGGAAGCATCTGATAAGATGTGTGAGGCCTACAAGGCATATTTTGGCATGCCTGTCGGGGTTCAAGACAAACCCTGGGCACCTCATTTCACCTGCGAGCAATGCAAAAAAACTCTGCAAGGTAAGATCTACAATTGTTGCTCGGAATTATATGTTATAAAATTTGTAACAATAATTTTTAATTGGACAAGTTTTTAATTTAAAAATGTTTAACAATTTTCAATGTTATAAAAAATATATATCAAGTATGAAAAATGTTGCGAGAATCTATTACACATTAGTCACGGGTGAAATTAATATATTTTGTAGGATGGTACAGAGGGAAAACAGAGCCATGAAATACGCTATCCCAAGAATTTGGTAAAAACCCACTGACCACTCAAGCAACTGCTACTTCTGCATGGTGGACCCTTCCAGACGTCGGACTAGCAAGAATGCATCTGCTATCACGTATCCGGACCTTCCTTCATCCATCGCCCTGGTGCCACACTGCCATGAGCTCCCTGTACCCACTCCTCCAGAGAGAGAAAGCTGCCGTCTTTAGAAGAGAGCAGCAAGTCAGAGAGCGAGGAAGACGTTGTAGATCCAGATGACAATTTCAGAGGTGGAGCTGAGGAGAGAAACCCATACTACCCCAACAAAAAAGACCTCAACGACTTGATCAGAGATCTTGGTCTCACCAAGTCCAATGCCGATCTTTTGACATCTAGGCTCAAGCATTGGAACTTGGTGAATGAAAATGTGCAAGTCGTAGATCAGAGGAAGCGTCACCGACTTTTTGCAGCTTCTTCACCCGTCAAGATGGGCTCTGCTTTTGCCACAATGTGACCAGTCTGTTCGAGGCAATCGGAATCGCCTGTAACCAGAATGAGTGGCGCCTCTTCATTGACAGCTCACCCAGTAGCCTCAAAGCCGTGCTGCTCCATAATGGTAACAAGTACCCGTCTCTTCCCCTGGCTCACTCGGTGCACCTCAAAGAGGATTACAACAGCATCAAGACCTTGCTGGACGCCTTGTAGTATGATGAGTACTGCTGGGAGGTCATCGGAGACTTCAAAATGGTGGCAATTCCTGATGGGTTTCCAAGGCGGTTTTACCAAGTTTCCCTGCTATCTTTGCCTTTGGGACAGCAGGGACACCAAGGCGCACTACCACAGGCGGGACTGGCCACAGCGGACCGAGTTCTCTGTGGGGAGGAACAATGTTAAGTGGGAGCCACTGGTGGACCCCCGGAAGGTGCTGATGCAACCATTGCACGTAAAATTAGGCCTTATGAAACAATTTGTCAGAGTATTAAATAAGGAGCCTGCAGCCTTAAAGTACCTGCAAGACTTCTTCCCTAAGCTGTCTGAGGCAAAGGTCAAAGCTGGTGTCTTCGTCGGACCACAGATAAAGAAGATCCTGGAGTGCAATGCATTCCCCAAGAATCTGAATAGTAAAGAGAACGCGGCTTAGAACAGCTTTGTCGTAGTGGTTCGCGGCTTCCTGGGCAATCAAAAGGTAAAAAAGTATGTGGAGCTGGTTGAGACTCTGGTGAAGAACTTTGGCACAATGGGCTGTAGGATGTCCCTCAAAGTCCATATCCTTGATGCTCATTTTGATACATTCAAGGGGAACATGGGAACGTACTCGGAGGAGCAAGGCGAGTGCTTCCACCAGGATAGACTGGACTTTGAACGCCGCTACCAAGGACAGTAGAACGAGAACATGATGGGAGACCACATTTGGGGGCTGATTCATGAAAGTGATTTACAGTATAATCGTAAATCTCGAAAAACTACTCACTTCTAAATCTTTTGTAGTCATTTTTGCATTACTTTAGTATGAATACATGTTAATTTTTATTCATATGTTTTTTCTGAGTTTATGTGAACGAAAAGACACAACTTCATCAGTTTCCTCATTGAAAAAAGGTAAATTTCAAAATATCACTGTCCTGGTCACAAAAGCAAAGTTTGTGGGGAATAATAGCCATCTTCTATACTTTTTAGGCATAAACAATTACGAAACAACACTTACTACCCAGGAAGAAAAGGTTGTGTTACATAGTGAAATAATTGACTCTTACACGAAACAAAGACAAATATCCCCCATAAGCCTTAACGGACTGATGGGGCAAGGGCTGCTAGCGAGCACCTATGATGGCCGGAACGGCACACGAGGGGGTGGGTCGTCAACATCACGCCCGGCCGCCTTTGTTTCCCCAGTGGCGATGTTTCCACACCGCACCAGGTACTCATTTGAGGCTGAGTCGACCAAGGGGAGGCCCAGGAACGGTACAGATAATCGAATTTGGGTTACCGGGTTCGTAGCGCAGCGCGCTAACTGTTACACTACCACTCTTACACACGCACATACATTTTTTACACGGTCCCCTCTGGAGTTTTAGGCCTTGGGAACAAATATTCCATTTGTCCTATCCCCCCCTCCATAAACCCAGCTCTGCTGGAGATCACCTAGCCCCAGGGCTCGAACCCAGCGGTACCACCGCAGCGCCACAAACTCCGACGTGTGCCTTTGCAGTGAGCAACACAAACTCGAGCAAAGCCCCCGGGCCTCGTCAGGAGCCGAGTCACGGCGAGCCGGTAAATGAGGCGCATTAGCACCGCCATTAATTTCCAACCCCCCCTCCCTCCCCCGTGCCCTCAATCGCCCGGCGCGCACCCCGAATTGACGCTCGTTTAGGCCGGTTTGGAGTCGTCGATCCACGGTCGTCGTCCCGCGCCTTGCCGTGCCGTGCCACTCCACGTCTTTCCGTGCCGTGCCATGCCGTGCCATGCCATGCCGTGCCGTGCCGTGCCACTGACTGCCATGCCACGCCGTGCCGTGCCACGCCACGTCTTTCCATGCCGTGCAGTGCCATGCCGTGCCGCGCTGCGCAGTGCCGCGCGTTCGCGGCGATCAAAATTCTCCAGGACATTTCGCGCACTCGAGTAGCGTAACGAGCGTGGGGGTGCGTTGGCCCCCCCGTGGTGGCTAAAGCCACGAGTTGGGGGCCTCCTTGACAACCAGTTTAACACTTAGGCTTTCGCGACCAATCTATAATTGAGGTTTTTTGGGGTTAGATCGCGAAAATATATAAATGTGTCGTTAAATCCGCCACCACCCGACACAGCCAACTTGTAAGGGTTGTCACGTAAACAGAACATGCCAATTCGTCACTAGTACAGCACACCGGTGTGTTGGAGAGCCAAGTCACAACATTCACAATCTGAGTACGACGTTTCGCCAGTAATTACAACTAGCTTCATAAGGCGACAGCCAGATTTGTGAAGTCCACCTGTTTCGTTCTCCAACACACCAGTGTTGGAGAACGCCGTGGTGACGTGACCACGACTTCGTGGTGAACGGTGATGGTTGTTGTTGTTGTTGTTCTTGTGCGTATGCGGGCGTCTGCTAAGAGGGGCTCGCTAACAACGCTTGCTCCGAGAGTCTTGAAGACTTAAACGCGTGGCCTTGTTAATTTTTGCCTTGAATTAAGTTCATATTTAATTTGGGCATCAACATAACCCTTCACCTCTCAAGGGTGAATACAACTAGGATATTTGTTCATGGGAAATCGACAGTGAACGACGGTTGAACAAATTAACATCCCCTTTATAACGATGTGGAATTTACATATTTAAAAAAAACCCTCTATCATGGATGAGATGTTTTCAACAACAGTGTCAAAGAACAAATACCTATTTAAAACGCTGTATATATTTTTTTTATGAAAATGCTTTCATTTACGGCTCACGTTTTATTTGTATTTAATTAGAGCCGTTAACGTTTGGCTTCCGTAAATTGCACAAATCAAATATTGGGCACCCCCCCACCGGACCGATTGCCGTGACCGGGGAATGTCGCCACTACGCAACTGGCGCATTTCCCTTTAGTTTCTCACCCCCCAGAGAGCTCCCCCGTGTGCGTTCTGCACTGCCACCAATCCAAGTCCAGAATCTCCCGTCATTCTACTCCAGCCCTCTGACAAACGGCGCTGTCCTTTGGCTCAGACGAGCGTGGGGCGGACGCTGGCCACCATCAGCGGTGCTGAGCCGGAGTGTGGGGGGAAGTACGCGGGCAGATGAAGGTCAGCGACCCACTTGCTGTGCTTTCACGCACTCTACTGGGTGGCCGTGGTAGTTTGAGCACACGACGCCCATGCAAAGTGCTGCTCACGCTGCTGAACTCGTGCAAAGGGGGGGGGGGGGGTTAATCACCGGCTCCTTTGATGGCCCGTGGTGTTCAGCTGAGGGCCGGGGCAACGCGCGGCCCATAGGGAGATGGAGCGATGCCCAGTGGAGGCGGGAGACGCGTGGGAGCCTCGGTGAGGCCTCGGGCTGTCATCTCCCTCGCTTCCTCAAAAATCAAATTGTGTTCTGTCACCGGCCCAATTGATGGATGGAGCCGCTGAGAGATTTTGTTACATTTGAAAATTAATATATATTTTTTTTATTCCTGCCGTGCGATCATTTACAGCATGCATGAGCCGTCTGGGTGGCTGAGTGGGCTCATCAGGAGACACAAAAAGCCGGCACCGCTGAGTTCCTGGGTTTGACTCCGGGTTTCGGCCGCCAATCATTAAACCAACGGAATATTTATTTGTACCGGAGGAATCCGATGAGCTATACAGTAAAGCTATTTTTCACAGGTGTCCAGTAGGGGCGGGTAACAGCGTTACAACAACAATACACAACCATGAGAGTAGTGCAAAGTACAAGCAAGGTAAACGAATCACTCAAAAAACATACAAATAAAACTAAACCACCCCCATCCTACCAGGCCAAAGCCCACCGAGGTACAAATTATAGCTCAACAAAGTGGGCCTTCACGTGGAAATCCACAGCAGTAAAATAATCTCAATGCATGTTTCTAAATGTGGAGGGAAAAACCCGTAGGGAGCCGGTGGTTTGAGCCCAGTCACCAACGATTGCACAACAGCAAAACGTCGAAGTCAAAGCGTCTCCCTGCTCAAACTGGCAATGAATGAAGTTGGTCC